TCCCCCCAGCAAAAAAAAAAAACGCGCCTGACCTTGCATCCTTGTCACCTCCTCGATGAAGCAAAGCAGAATGTTTGTTTCTTGCTGTCTTAATCATAGACAACAATGTACAATATCTTTACTATGGTAATAAAGTGGGAGAGGATTTTCCTTAATTGTCCTGCTAAGTAAGGATGTACTGTCTTTATAAAAATACACGTTGCAAAAACCCGCGGGCAAGGAGCAGAGGTCATTTGACTCCCGTGGCCATAGCATCTGTGATCAATTACTCACTCTAGCAGTAAACAAGACGCTCGCCCCTTCTGAGTGGCCCCTCAGGGCTGAGGGGGCTGAAGGGGCTGAAGGGGGCTGAAGGGGGCTGATACCCCCTCCTGGAGAAAATTTCTCCACAGGTATTATTATTATTATTATTATTCCTCTTCTTCCTATTCTTCCTCCTCCTCCTCTTCTTTTTCATTCTTCCAAACCCTTCCTCCTCCCTCCTTCCTCCCTCCTTCCTCCTCCCCCCTTTCCTCCTTCCCCCCCTCCCTCCTTCCTCCTTCCCCCTTCCTCCTCCTCCTTCCTTCCTCCACCTCCCTCCTTCCTCCTCCTCCCTCCCTCCTCCTCTCCCTCCCTCCTCCTCCTCCCTCCTTCCTCCTCCCTCCCTCCTTCCTCTTCCCCCTTTCCCTTCCTCTTCCTCCTTCCTTCCTCTTCCCCCTCCTTCCTTCCTCTTCCTTCCTTCCTCCTCCTCTTCTCCTCCTCCTCCTTCTTCCTCCTCCTCCTCTTTCTTCTCCTCCTCTTCCTCCTCCATTGCTTTTGGTCTCAAATTCCTCGAAATCATGAAATTGATCTTCACTGACACTTCCATCTGTGTTTAGAGCATCATTTGGGGAAAGAGAAGAGTCCCAGATTTGCTGGGGAGTAAACATATTTCTTACCACTAGACATGCTGAAAAAGGACGACTGAAATGGTATTCCCACAACCACCACTGGCTCCCGATTTTTTTTATATGGTGAACACTGACCATGAAGACCCATTCTCTCACATGTGGGCCTACAGCTTTCTCCTGCTTGATTTGAAGCCCCTAGAATTTATGCGTATAGATACATCGAACATAGTATCTCCTATGACGTAATATATATACGACCGCGACAGTCAAAAGGGTTAAGGAGGGGTGGGTTTTGCTGTAGTTTTGGAAGGACATCTGACCTGTAGTGTCAGCAAGCCTCTGGCAGGATGGTCATGGAATGGGGTGATGGCGAGTGTGGGTTTTTTTTTCGGGTCACTACCCTTGGTGGGAGACGGCTAGTGTCTTAAAAACAAAAATAATTTTGCTAGGCCCTTAAACAGAATTTAATGTAAACCAGATCACCCCCTTCCATTCTTTAGTTGGGTTAAGGAAGTGATCAATATACAGTCATACCTCAAATAAAGCAGGTTTAGTTTCCAGACCGCTGATATAAAGCAATTATCACATTCAAGCAAATCACAGCCTTTTTTAACCCTACCCCGGCCGGATTGAACCGCGGTCATTGAGTCTAAAAACTCTGGAGTTTTGAGACTCTATGACCGGGTTCAATCCCGGCCGGGGTATGGTTTATTTCAAATCGTGTCATTAACGATTTCTTGAGTCACAGCCTTTTTTTTTCATTGCCAGTGCATACAAAAAGCATAAAAACATGTATAATAGCACTAGGCTAAAAAAGAAAAGATGCAAAAGTAAAAATAATAAAAAAAAAATGAAAATTGTCAAAAAACATCTTAAGAGCAAGGCAAGCAGAAAAATAATAAACAGAATATAACTGAAAAGTGCCAGAAAGTAAAAGCACTAAAGCAAGCACGTTTTAGTTTAAAATGAGATATGCCTGTACTGGGGTAACTTCGATAACTTTGGTTTTTTTCAATAAAAGCTGAGGATGGCCAGGGTTTCTTTAAATTCCAGAGGCTTTGTGTACTGCAGTTATCATGTGCTCAATATACGATGCAAATGAGTTGCATTCTTGGAGGTTATGTTTGACACGTTTGTGCTGTAGCTCAGCAAATGTGAAACATGTCTTAGTTCCTTGTTTGTTAGTGAGGATGAAGTGTAATTCTCGGTATCAGTGTGTTGAGGACCTCCTGTATATTTTTTTTTTTTTCTTTTATTAACACATCGGCCAATTCCCACCAAAGCAGGGTGCCCCAAAAAAGAAAAACTTTCACCATTCACCCCATCATGTTTTTTTTTCAGAGGGGGGGTTTTTACACTACAGTTCGTAAAATTTGCAAAAATTAACACCCTTCCTTCAGGGGGTTTGTTAATGTTGCAGTTTTAAACCCCTTTCGGGCCCGTCCCGTAGATCTACGGTTTTTAACATTCGGGGCCCCAAACCCCGAAAGATCTACCCATGAGCTCAGCTCACTCTGAAAAAAATGTGTTTGGGTACATTTGGGCCTAGATATGGGGAGAATCATCTATGGGGATGTTGCCCCAAAATAAAACTTTTTCCTGCAGCACACTGTGTAAAATAGAAAAAAAAAAAAGAAATCATGATTTTTCGATTAAAACAGAATTTTTGCGTTTTTTTCGTATTTTTTTTTTATATTTTTTTTTTGGGCGATTTGGGGGGCCTTTGTGAAGGAAAGGGGCCCAATATTACAGAAATAGAGATAAATTTTTGTTTGGGGTTTTAGCACGGGAAAAATGGTTTGGGAAAACTGAGTTTAAAAGTAGCAGAAAGAAAATATTTTTGCCGATATTAAAGAGTAAAAAAAAGGGGGACCCCCACACATCTAAACACATCAGCTGGTGGGTCTAATATCCCATTCAAAAATTAGGGTAATAAATATTTATACAATTATTTAAAATTTTGCAAAAACAGTAAACTTCTTTTTTTTGGGTTTGTGAATAAAAAATTCTTAA